GTGATCATTTAAAAGCCCATTCGTTTTCTTGGCGAACCTCTGCTTCTTCCTCGGATGTGTAATCCTTCTCAATGTTTAAAGTCCTACGAACCTCCTCAACAGTTTTACCTTTGATCATCGTATCAGCGACGAACTGACAAGTGAGATCAAAAAGGGTTTTGATGTTAAGGAAATCAGCAGCTAAAAGCAGATTGAAAATCTTTGACTGGTCGAGATCATTCATAAACTGAGCATCCCAATTCTTGAGATCCTCCTGGGAGGAAGACGACGAACCACCACCATCACCATCAGCGATGACGACGTGTTTCTTGCAATACTCGATCACCAAAGCGAGGATATCGCCTGTGACGTTGGCAAGAGGGATTGTGTCATTGGCGCAGTCATCTTCAATCATGTAGGCTATGGTCTCCGATTGTAGGGCCACCGCTTCTTCAACCTCAAAGATTATGCCGTTTGAGCTTTTTAAAACAATATTCTTCTTTGACATGGTTTGTTCATTGTGTTAGTGGGGAGATTGATGTAAAATGGTTATGAATAATTATAGGAATGATACAAAGTAATTAACCTATGTGTCTCTCTATATATAGGATTTTCAGTCGGTGGTTATGAACTTATGTTCATAGTTCTAACATGATTACAGAAATCAACATATTTTGAGTTTGACCAAAAAGATGATAAGAAAATATCATTCTTAATTATGTTTTCCTTGAACAATCTGTATGAGATTGAAAAAAGTCAACCACGTTGTGAGTCATCTTCAGTTTATGGGAAGGTTAATTAAATAATTATAAATAAAAAATATAAATTATTATTTCCTTTTAAATATGATAGGTTATATTTTAATTTTCTAATAACTCCCTAAAACATAAAGAATAAAAAAGAATCATTATATTGTACTTGTAAATAGTGTAATTTTTAAGAGATGATAAAGATATTTAATATTTCTTCCCATCAATCTGATCACCAGTTAGAGCCATTGTTTAAATCAAAATGATAATTACGTAACTTTTGCGAAACTTTTTAGATGCTTAACGGCTAAATCTTGAGGCTTGTTTCATGTTTACAAGTTAAAAGACATATTCTTTTAGCTTTCAAAATACTTTCCTTCTTAACTTTTCTTGATCTTACATAATCTGATTTTTGTTTTCACTTAGCATTAAATTCAAAGTTAAATCTTCAAACCATCCACATGGTTAGGCTTAATTTTTGTTTAATGAAGGAACTCTAACTAGTAAAACACCACCATCTAACCAAATAAATTGGGAGTGCCAGAATCCTAGACTTGACTACTATCAGATACCAGAACCTACTCTGAATACTATGAGGCTTTCAAGGAGACTTCACATGATCATCATCATTAACTAGGTACTGAGGACTAAAACTGAAAAGCAAAAATTTGGGACATCAAATGCTCACCTAAATAAAAATTACTCATCTGGAAAATTTTATGAATGAAGCCATTCTTCTAAAAGGAAATATGAGAGTTGCGACAGTCAATACCTTAGACCTCTGTCTCTTCAGTGATAATTTAGAAACCGCAGCAATATTCCATGCTAACAACCAAGCCCTTATGCTAGGGTTTAAGAATCTTCACATCGCATTTGAATCATAACATTAGACCAGACCTATAATTTCGGAGACTTATTTGATAGAGTTCTACGAGATTGTCTATGACAGCCTAGGTATATCTCTTAGTTTCGATTAAATCTCTTTTGTTTTTGTATGGCAAGAAGCCAATCTGTTATCTGCTCACTTAGAAAAAGTGCCTTAAACTCTTTTTCTTCCCCGGTTTAATGTAATGAAATCAGATTTTTCACAAAAATGGAACTCAAACTAGTACAAAGCATATGTGAGTCGTAATTAATGGGTGTGTCATGAGAACTAATTGTTGTAAATGCAAAACCTATTAATTTCTGTGTCCAAATTTATGGCAACTGTAATCAAATTTTTATTAGGTCTGTAGTAGTCTACATTTATATTATTTAATGTATTTACTTTTTTGATTAATTTGGAGGTTAAAAAATTGTATAAAATATTCTATATTGACTCGTTCAGAAAACAAAATATATTTTTTTTATAATCAAATTAGTTAAAACAAATTCGTGATACATTGCATAATTATATTTAAATAAACAAATATGGAATACTGTAATGAATTAAAAAAGTACGAGAATTATTGACTCACAAGGTAGGTTTTGATATAAATATATTATGTAGATTCTAAACCTAAGAGAATACAATATATTATATACATAATAGATTACACTAAATATGGTATACACTTAAAAATGTAAGATGTTGCAAATAAAAGCAGAAAGATTCAAATTCTTTTTGTTTAAAAATATTATTTAATAACTAGTTATAAACATAATTCATGTAATCATAAAAAATATTTCAGAATTTAAAAAGTAAAAAGTATCTATTAACATTAAATTTTACATAGAAGCCTTTAAAATATCCTATAAAAAGTATAAATTATATTTCCTAGAACATCTTTTGAAATAGGACCAACTGAGTATGATTTTATCTCTAGTGTTATTTTCTTTAACACCTATATCCTCTAAATTTGGGGTTCAAGGATCTCTAATCCCTAACTTAGAAAGTAAATATGCAATGTTGGATTTTGAAGAGCCTCAATATGAAGATCGGTTGATTGTTCATTGGTGGAAAGATATTTGGTGACAATGAACTTGTTTTGAACAACATTGCGAACAAAATGACAATAAGATTTAATAAGTTTAGACTGTTTATGGAAAACCGAGTTGGCTGTAATGTGGATTGACGATTTATTATCACAAAACAGCCCCATTGGTTCATCTTGTTGAATCTCAAAAGAAAGAAATAATTGCTTGATCCATTTGAGTTGGGACTAAGCAAAGGACATAAACCAGTATTCAGTTTTAGCAGAGGACATGGATAGGGAACCGAGTAGAAGAATGTAAGCACTGAGTGAACAACATGTTAAAAGAAAATCCCACCAATCAGTGTTACAGTAGGCGTAGAAGAGAAGATCAGAATCTGCATGAAGGAATATCCCTTGTCCTGAACAACCCTTCAAGTAACAGGCATTGTGTAAGATGGCATTCCAATGAGCTTGTAGTGGAGTATGTGCCATATAAACAGGTCTGGCCAAATAAAAGTTAGATAGATAAGGCGTCCAACCAAACAATTATAAACGTATGGATTGTAAAGCAGAGGACTAGTGGCGAGAGAGAGCTTGCGAATCTAGCACCTTCACGTTCTTTCTCGATATCAGTAGACACAGCACATGTACATGATACAAATGACTAAAAAGTTTTCAATTCCTCTTAGAGCTTTGATAGACAACCATAATATTTGAGAACAGATTGGTCATTTGTAATTGGTAACTTCATCTTCAAGCAGATGCTTGTGAACACCAATTTTGACAGAGAAGCGACGTTGGAGGGATACCCAGCGTTTAGAAGTGTCAAGAACATGAGAAACAGTTGAACAAAGTTGAGGATCAATAGTCGTTTGTACCAGTCCAGGGGGCAAGGTCGAAATTGGAGGCAGGTTTTTGACTCGAGTCATCAACAAACTCAATCCTCTCTTTATCTTCAAGAGAATTCCAAATCGCAATAGCTCATTTAGAGTAAGTATCCCCCCCAAAGGAGCATTGCTGTGACGTTCACCTGGATTATTAAAAGGATGTAGAGTGTAGCAGAGTTAAAAAAATAAACTTCAGATTGCATCGGAAACACAACAGTTGATCAGAGCTATATATCCAAAGACTCATTTGACAAAGCTCCACAGGATCGTCTTTGAAATCCTAAATCTATCTTTTAGTTACGATGTATTTTTTATTTATTTTTGTATCCCGAGAAGTCAATCTGTTGGTCGATTCTCTTGCAAAAAGTGCCTTGAACTCTTTGTTTTCACCGATTTAATTTATTGAAACAAGACGTTGCACAAGTCAAAAATAAGAAAATGAAATAGGAACAAAGCGAGTGTGAATTATGAATTAATGGATGAAAGTGTCATAAAAATTGGATTGTTGTAATAAAAAGTATTTAAAAAGAAAAGAGAAAAACAATTATAAAATTTTATCTTAAAATCTGTGAAAATCCTAAAACATCATACTTTTAAAAAGAGAGGGAGTACATTGTAATTTATTTATTTTTCATTTGACAGTTAAATTTCTGTATAGTATATTCCTACATTTACACGATCCTTTACCTTCAGATTAATTAAAACAAAATTAGTGATAAATTATATAATTGAACAAAAATATCAAATATGGAATACTGTGAAGAATTGAAAAGTATGTATATTATTAATTCACACTATATCCTAACCGTAAACGAATATAGTAAAGTATATACATAATAGATTATATCAAATATGTTATAATCTAAAAAAATTTTAGATGTTCTAGAAGAAAACACGAAAATTAAGATTTATTTTCGTTTAAAAACGCTATTTAAAAATTAGTTAAATTCATAATTTTACTAATCATAACAAATATTGCAGAATTTGAAAAATCAAAAAGTATCAAATAAAATAAAGTTTTACATAGAAAATTGTAAAACATCTTCTAAAATAGGACAAATTATTTTCCTAAAACATTTTTAAATGAGGACATTTATATCTCTTGTGTTATATTTTTTGAGGTAACTTCGTTTGGATATGTTTTTCTGTCATCAGTAATAATATTATTGTGTTCACAATGAACATAATTTAAAAAAGATTATAACAAAGGAAAATAACATTTATTATTCTAAGTTAGAGTCGTCAAAAAGCATCAATGGTGGGATTCAGGTTAAGCATCTTTTGTCATCGTGTTGTTTATAGACTTTGTTATATTTTGAATAATATGAAAAAATCTTATTGAAATTAATAAAAACAGATTTAAAAAACAACATTGTTTTGTAGACCAAAACAATTAGGTTTTACTATATAAAAGCAAAGACACACGACTGCGGAAGGAAAAAACAATAGAAACATCATCATGAATCATGATCTCAAGTCATCCAAAGTGATCATTTAAAAGCCCATTCGTTTTCTTGGCGAACCTCTGCTTCTTCCTCGGATGTGTAATCCTTCTCAATGTTTAAAGTCCTACGAACTTCCACAACAGTTTTACCTTTGATCATCGTATCAGCGACGAACTGACAAGTGAGATCAAAAAGGGTTTTGATGTTAAGGAAATCAGCAGCCAAAAGCAGATTGAAAATCTTTGGCTGGTCGAGATCATTCATAAACTGAGCATTCCAATTCTTGAGATCCTCCTAGGAGGAAGACGACGAACCACCACCATCACCAACAGCGATGACGACGTGTTTCTTGCAATATTCGATCAACAAAGTGAGGATATCGCCTGTGATGTTGGCAAGAGGGATTGTGTCATTGGCGCAGTCATCTTCAATCATGTAGGCTATGGCCTCCGGCTGTAGGGCCACCGCTTCTTCAACCTCAAAGGTTATGCCGTTTGAGCTTTTTAAAACAATATTCTTCTTTGACATGGTTTGTTCTTTGTGTTAGTGGGGAGATTGATGGAAAATGGTTAGGAATAATTATAGGAATGACACAAAGTAATTAACTTATGTGTCTCTCTATATATATGATTTTCAGTCGGTGGTTATGAACTTATGTTCATAGTTCTAATATGATTATAGAAATCAACATATTTTGAGTTTGACCAAAAAGATGATAAGGAAATATCATTCTTAATTATGTTTTCCTTGAACAATCTGTATGAGATTGAAAAAAAGTCAACCACGTTGTGAGTCATCTTCAGTTTATGGGAAGATTAATTAAATAATAATACATAAAAAATGGAAATTATTATTTCTTTTTAAATTTGATAGGTTATATTTTAATTTTCTAATAACTCCCTAAAACATAAAGAATAAAAAAGAATCATTATATTGTACTTGTAAATAGTGTAATTTTTAAGAGATGCTAAAGATATTTAATATTTCTTCCCATCAATCTGATCACCAGTTAGAGCCATTGTTTAAATAAAAATGATAATTACGTAACTTTTGCAAAACTTTTTAGATGCTTAACTGCTAAATCTTGAGGCTTGTTTCATGTTTACAAGTTAAAAGACATATTCTTTTAGCTTTCAAAATACTTTCCTTCTTAACTTTTCTTGATCTTACATAATCGGATTTTTGTTTTCGCTTAGCATTAAATTCAAAGTTAAATCTTCAAACCATCCACATGGTTAGGCTTAGTTTTTGTCTAATGAAGGAACTCTAACTAGTAAAACACCACCATTAACCAAATAAATTGGGAGTGCCAGAATCCTAGACTTGACTACTATCAGATACCAGAACCTACTCTGAATACTATGAGGCTTTCAAAGAGACCTCACATGATCATCATCATTAACTAGGTACTGAGAACTTAAAAGCAAATATTTGGGACATCAAATGCTCACCTAAATAAAAATTATTCATCTGGAAAATTTTATGAATGAAGCCATTCTTGTAAAAGAAAATCTGAGAGTTGCGACAGTCAATACCTTAGACCTCTGTCTCTTTAGTGATAATTTAGAAACCGCAGCGATATTCTATGCTATTAACCAAGCCCTTATGCTAGGGTTTAAAAATCTTCACATCGCATTTGAATCATAACATTTGATTAGACCTATAATTTCGGAGACTTAATTGATAGAGTTCTACAAGATTTTCTATGGCAGCCTAACTATATCTCTTAGTTTCGATTAATTTTTTTTTGTTTTTGTATGGCAAGAAGCCAATCTGTTATCTGTCTCACTTACAAAAAGTGCCTTAAACTCTTTTTTTTCCCCGGTTTAATTTAATGAAATCAGATTTTTCACAAAAAAAGAACTCAAACTAGTACAAAGCGTATGTGAGTCGTAATTAATGGGTGTGTCATGAGAACTAATCGTTGTAAATGGAAAACCTATCAATTTCTGTGTCCAAATTTATGGTAACTATATTCAAATTTTTATTAGGTCTGTAGTAGTCTACATTTCTATTATGTAATGTATTTACTTTTTTGATTAATTTGGAGGTTAAAAATTTGTATAAAATATTCTATATTGACTCGTTCAGAAAAAAAAAATTTACAATCAAATTAATTAAAACAAATTTGTGATATATTGCATAATTATATTTAAAAAAACAAATATGGAATACTGTAATGAATTAAAAAATTACGAGTATTATTGACTCACAAGGTAGGTATTGATATAAATATATTATGTAGATTCTTAACCTAAGAGAATAAAATATATTATATTCATCATAGATTACACTAAATATGGTATACACTTAAAAATGTAAGATATTGCAAATAAAAGCACAAAGATTAAAATTGTTTTTGTTTAAAAATATTATTTAAAAACTAGTTATAAACATAATTCATGTAATCATAAAAAATATTTCAGAATTTAAAAAGTAAAAAATATCTATTAACATTTAATTTTACATAGAAGCCTGTAAAATATCCTATAAAAAGGACAAATTATATTTCCTAGAACATCTTTTAAAATAAGACCAATTGAGTATGATTTTATCTCTAATGTTATTTTCCTTAACTCCTATATCCTCCAAATTTGGGGTTGAAGGACCTCTAATCCCTAACTTGGAAAGTAAATATGCAATGTTGGATTTCGAAGAGCCTCAGTACGAAGATCGGTTGGTTGTTCATTGGTGGAAAGATATTTGGTGACAATGAACTTGTTTTGAACAACATTGCGAACAAAATGACAATAAGATTAAATAAGTTTAGAGTGTTTATGGAAAACCGAGTTGGCTGTAATGTGGATTGACAATTTATTATCACAAAACAGCCCCATTGGTTTATCTTGTTGAATCTCAATAGAAAGAAATAGTTGCTTGATCCAATTGAGTTGGGACTAAGCAAAGGACATATACCAGTATTCAGTTTTAGCAGAGGACATGGATAGGGAACCGAGTAGAAGAATGTAAGCACTGAGTGAACAACATGTTAAAGGAAAATCCCACCAATCAGTGTTACAGTAGGCGTAGAAGAGAAGATCAGAATCTGCATGAAGGAAAATCTTGTCCTGAACAACCCTTCAGGTAACATGCATTGTGTAAGACGGCATTCCAATGAGCCTGTAGTGGAGTATGAGCCACATAAACAGGTCTGGCCAAATAAATTTAGATAGATAAGACGTCCAACCAAACAATTATAAACTTATGGATTGTGAAGCAGAGGACTAGTAGCGAGAGAGATCTTGCGAATCTAGCACCTTCACGTTCTTTCTCGATATCAGTAGACGCAGCACATGTAATGATACCAATGACTTAAAAGTTTTCAATTCCTCTTAGAGCTTTGATAGACAACCTTAATATTTGAGAACAGATAGGTCAATTGTAGTTGGTAACTTCATTTGCAAGCAGATGCTTGTGAACACCAATTTTGACAGAAAAGCGACATTGGAGGGATACCCAGCGTTTAGAAGTGTCAAAAACATGAGAAACAGTCGAACAAAGCTGAGGATCAATAGTCGTTTGTACCAGTCCAGCAGGCAAAGTCGAGATTGGAGGCAGGTTTTTTTACTCGAGTCATCAACAAACCCAATCTTCTGTTTATCTTGAAAAGAATTCCAAATCGCAATAGCTCATTTAGAGTAAGTCCCCCCCCCCCCCCCCCCCCCCCCCCCCCCCCCCCACCCCCCCCCCCCCCCCCCCCCCCCCCCCCCCCCCCCCCCCCCCCCCCCCCCCCCCCCCCCCCCTAGGAGCTTTGGTGTGATGTTCACCTGGATTATTAAAGGGATGTAGAGTGTAGCTGAGTTAAAAAATAAACTTCAGATTGCATCAGAAACACAACAGTTGATCAAAGCTATATATCCAGAGACTCATTTGACAAAGCTCCACATGATCGTCTTTGAAATCCTTAATCTATCTTTTAGTTTCGATGTATTTTTTTTATTTTTGTATCCCGAGAAGTCAATCTGTTGGTCGATTCACTTGCAAAAAGTGCCTTGAACTCTTTGTTTTCACCGATTTAATTTATTGAAACAAGACGTTGCACAAGTCAAAAAGAAAAAAACTCAAATTGGAACAAAGCGTGTGTGAATCATGAATTAATGGATGAAAGTGTTATAAAAATTGGATTGTTGTAATCAGAAACTTATCAACTTCTGTGTCCAAAATTTATGGCAACCTTAATCATTTTTACGAGGTTTGTAGTGCTCTACATTACTACTCCCTTTGTTTTTTAAAATACGATGTTTTAGGTTTTTTTTCTTGTTTTTAAAAGTTTGATGTTTTAGTTTTTATTTAATGTATTTAGTTTTACAAGAAACCTTTTACAAATTGAAAAGAGAAAAATAGTGTCAAAATAATAATAAAAAATAAAAAGTATTTAAAAAGAAAAGAGAAAAACAATTATAAAATTGTATCTTAAAATCTGTGAAAATCCTAAAACATCATACTTTTAAAAACAGAGAGAGTACATTGTAATGTATTTATTTTCTTGGGGTTCATTTGACAAGTTAATTTTCTGTATAATATATTCCTACATTTACACGATCATTTACCTTCAGATTAATTAAAACAAAATTAGTGATAAATTACATAATTATACAAATATATCAAATATGGAATACTGTAAAGAGTTGAAAGTATGTATATTATTAATTCACACTATATCCTAACCATAAAAGAATAAAATAAAGTATATACATAATAGATTATATCAAATATGTTATAATCTAAAAAAAGATATTCCAAATGAAAACACAAAAAATTAAGATTTATTTTTGTTTAAAAACACTATTTTAAAATTAGTTAAATTCATAATTTTACTAATCATAACAAATATTGCAGAATTTGAAAAATCAAAAAGTATCAAATAAAATAAAGTTTTACATAGAAACTTATTAAACATCTTCTAAAATAGGACAAATTATTTTCCTAGAACATTTTTAAATGAGTACATTTATATCTCTTGTGTTATATTTTACGAGGTAACTTCTTTTAGATGTGTTTTTCTGTCATCAGTAATAATATATTGTGTTCACAATGAACATAATTTGAAGAGGACTATAACAAAAGAAAATAACATTTATTATTCTAAGTTAGAGTCGTAAAAAAGCATCGATGGTGGGATTCAGGTTAAGCTTCTTTTGTCACCGTGTTGTTTATAGACTTTGTTATATTTTGAGTACTATGAAAAAACTCTTATTGAAATTAATAAAAACAGATTTAAAAATAAGACATTATTTTGTAGACCAAAACAATTAGATTTTACTATATAAAAGCAAAGACACACGACTGCAGAATGAAAAAAATAATAGAAACATAATCATGAATCATGATCTCAAGTCATCCAAAGTGATCATTTAAAAGCCCATTCGTTTTCTTGGCGAGCCTTTGCTTCTTCCTCGGATGTGTAATCCTTCTCAATGTTTAAAGTCCTACGAACCTCCTCAACAGATTTACCTTTGATCATCGTATCAGCGACGAACTGACAAGTGAGATCAAAAAGGGTTTTGATGTTAAGGAAATCAGCAGCC